TTGTTTTTCTTCCTACTATCCCTTTCCTGTTGCAGTTAATCTTTAATACATATAAATCTTTATCTACCTCTATTAAACTTTGCATTTCTATTAGTTCTTTCTTCTCTTTCTTTTCTTTTTCTCACCATATTTGTTAGCTTTGTTTTCATTGCTTTAAAAATTTCCCAGTTAGCATATTGATTTAGTTTTATTTTCCAGTTTGTGCTTTAGTTAGTTATGTTCTTAACTGGTGGATATCACTTTTGATTTCCTTTGTTCACCAGGTCAATCTATTGTACCTTTTTTTTTTTTTTGGACTGTTTTGGTTTTGCCTGTGGGTGTATAGGTATGTGCAAATTCCATTATTTTAGTTATTATTTGCCTGAGTTTGTAATTGCCATTTGTCTGGGGTGTGCCTTTTGTTTCTCATTTTTGTGTGTTTGTTTTAATCCCATTTAATTCAATAACAAACTACCTGTGGTATCTCCATTTCCAGCCAGAGATCAGGCCCTGAGCGTATGGAGCCAGAGTGCTGAGTCCAAGACCCTAGACTACCAGAGATTCCTAACCCTAGGGAGTACCAAATAGCCAGAACTACCCAGCAAGGATCTTATTCAAAATTGATGGAGAAATCAAAAGTTTTACAGACAAGCAAAAGTTAAGAGAATTTAGTACAGTACCAACAAATCAGCTTTACAACAGATGTTAAAGGGACTTACATAGTCAGGAAATACAAGAGAAGAAAAAGATCTAAAAAAAATAAACCCCAAACAATTAAGAAAATGGCAATAGGAACATATATATCAATAATTACTTTAAATGTAAATGGATTAAATGTTCCAACCAAAAGACACAGACTGACTGAATGGATACAAAAACCCATATATATGATGTCTACAAGAAACCCACTTCAGACCTAAAGACACATATAGACTGAAAGTGAGATTCTGGAAAAAGATATTCCACGCAAATGGAAATCAAAAGAAAGTTGGAGTAGCAATCCTTGTATCAGACAAAATCAACCTTAAAATAAAGACTATTACAAGAGACATGGAAGGGCACTACATAATGATCAATGGATCGATTCAAGAGGAAGACAACTGACAGTAACACAATCGTAGTAGGAGATTTTAACACCCCACTTACACCAATGGACAGATCATCAAAACAGAAAATTAATAAGAAAATACAAGCCTTAAAATGACACATTAGATCAGGTGAACCTCATTGATATCTTCAGGGCATTCCATCCAAATGCAGAAGAATATACTTTCTTCTCAAGTGCATATGGAACATTCTCTGGAACAGACCACATCTTGGTTCACAAATCAAACCTCAGTAAATTTAAGAAAACTGAAATAATATCAAGCCTTTTTTCTGACCACAATGCTATGAGACTAGATATCAATTAAAAGAAAAAAAATGTAAAAATACAAACACATGGAAATCAAACAATACATTTCTAAATAATGAACAGGTTACTGAAGAAATCAAAAGGGAAATAAAAAAATTCCTAGAAACAAATGACAATGAAAACACACCAACTCAAAACCTGTAGTTTGCAGCAAAAACAGTTATAAGAGGGAAGTCTATAGCAATACAATCCTACCTCAAGAAACAAGAAAAACATCAAATAGATAATCTAACTTTACACCTAAAACAATTGGAAAAAACAACAACAACAGCAAAAAAAATCCCAAAGTTAGCAGAAGAAAAGAAATCATAAAGATCAAAGCAGAAATAAATGAAAGAAACAATAGTAAAGATTAATAAAGCTAAAAGCTGGTTCTTTGAGAAGATAAACAAAATAGACAAATTTTTAGCCAGACTCATCAAGGAAAAAAGAAGAATCAAACATACAAAATTAGAAGTGAAAAAGAAGAGGCTACAACAAACAATGCAGAAATACAAAGGATACAAGAGACGACTATGAGCAACTATATGGCAATTAAATGGAAAACCTGAAAGAAGTGGACAGATTCTTAGAAAACCTCAATCTTCCAAGACTGACCCAGGAAGAAATAGAAATTATGAACAATCCAATTACAAGCAATGAAATCGAAACTGTGATCAAAAATCTCCCAAAAAACAAAAGCCCAGGGCCAGATGTCTTCACAGGTGAATTTTGTCACACATTTAGAGAAGAGCTCCAGTCAGAATGGCCATCATAAAAAAGTCTACAAACAATAAATGCTGGAGAGGGTATGGAGAAAGGGAACCTTCTGTTGGTGGGAATATAAATTAATATAGTCACTATGGAAGACAGCATGGAGATTCCTTAAAAAACTAGCAGGGAAAAAAAAAACACCATGTGACCCAGCAATCTCACTACTAGTTATATATCCTGAAGAAACCAAAATTTAAAAAGACACATGTACCCCAATATCCACTGCAGCACTATTTACAACAGCCAGAACATGGAAGCAACCCAGAGGTCCACTGACAGATAAACGGATGAAGCTGTGGTGCATATATACAATGGAATATTACCCAGCCATAAAAAGGAACCGCTCTGAGTCAGTTCTAATGAGGCAGATGAACCGAGAGCCTATTATACAGAGTGAAGTATGTCAGAAAGAGAAGGATAAATATTGTATATTAACAGAAATATATGGAGTCTAGAAAGATGGTACCTATGAATTTATTTGCAGGGCAGCAATGGAGAAACAGACATAGAGAGCAGATTACTGGACGTGGGGCGGGGGGGAGGAAGGGGAGGATATGTATGCAGAGAGTAACGTGGAAACCTACGTTACCATGTGTAAGACAGACAGCCAATGGGAATCTGCCGTATGACTCCAGGAGCTCAAAGACAGGCTCGGTAACAACCTAGAGGGGTGGGCTGGGGGAGAGGTTCAGGAGAGAGGCAACATGTGTATGCCTGTGGCTGATTCATGCTGGTACTTGGCAGAAAACAACAAAATTCTGTAAAGCAATTATCCTTCAATTAAAAATAAATGAATAAAATTCAAAAATGTTATCTGAAGAAAATAATTATGGATGCTAAGTAAAAGTTAGCTATAAAAACATACATTTAAAGCAGAGTTGGTTTTAATTGTGAAAATTTAGAAATTGGCTATCTAGCAACATCAACATTTAAGTAAACTGAACTATAGCTGTACAAGGAATATATCATGCAGCCATTCAAGTATTTACATATATTTAAGGATGTTGTTTCTAATACCATGGAATGAAAATGAAAATAGCAAGGCAGAAAGGAGTACAATGCTGCTTTTACATTACACACACAGGCACACATATGCACACAGTGCAAAAAACATTTCAAAGATAAACATCACAGTATTTCCATCAGTAATGTCTCAGTTGGAGGGTTACAGGTTTTTTTCTGCAATCCAGGTATATTTCTTATGCAATTAGTAGTTTTACTCCTATGCATCTACAATTTCTAAATCTTTGCCAGGCAGAATATTTGGGGTATTAAATAAAAAGAGGCTAAGATGTGTAAAACATAGATTTTAAAACATTCATTTAATTTTTACAGAGAAGTTTCTTGAGAAGATTCAAAGTAGTCATTTATTATCTGCTGTTTATTTTTTAAAAGCGAAATTATTAATAAATAGAGTGCAATGCTTTGCTTCAGAATGTGGCTCTATCACTTGCTGGCTACATGACCCTGGATATGACACATATCTGTGCTTCAGTTTCTCCATTTATACAACAGGTATAATATAACCATACCTGTGTTATAGGGTTGATGTGATAATAAATTAGTCAACACAAGTAAAGTGCTTGGAGAAGCACCCAGCAAATATACATGGTCAATAAATACCAGCTACTATTACCTGCTATTGTTGCTTTATGCCAGGAAAAAAAAATATTAAGAAAAATCTTGTTATGAGTGACACACAGGAATCCAGCATTATTCTTATATGACATCAACAAAGAAAAAAATCCAGATCCGAGATAGACCAGATGAGATTTTAAAGCAAAGGTACGTCTGTGAACTAGGTCATGAAAACAACTAGGAACAAGAAATATTAAAGTAATAATCATACTTTTAATAAGGCAGCAAAATTTGTTCCTGTTGGCTAAAAAACATGAAAACTTTGCCTTGAACCAGTTTATTCTAATATGGCTATCCTCTAGGAAATTAAAAATCAGAAAAGCTCATATTTTATTTACTAGATGTGACTAAATCAGTAAAGTTATGACTCATGAGTAGTAAAAATCAATTTAGTATTCCAGCATTTTTTTGTCCAAGAACCTAGAACAGTTATCAAAAGTAAGAGAAATCAGAGTGCATCACACACAGTTATGGCAAGAATTGCTTCATCACATTTTTGCAGCAGTTAAAATATAATTTGTGTCTCTCTCGGGGCATGGTGGAAAACAGACCTCTTATTGTGTGTCACAGTATTAAGAAATTGTAGAAAAAGTGTTCTGCACCAATATTTAAGATTTTATATGTTCATCTGGGTAACAGATTATACACTTCTTTTGCCTTTATAAATTTTATAATTCATACTACAATGGAGGGTAATATAAAATTAGGTTGTTATTAGACATTTAAAGGTATAACAGAAATACAAAATGGTAAAGTGTTGTGGAGTCTTTGGACAATGATTTTAAATTCCATTAGAAGGAAAAAAATTACCTATTTCCATCTGGCATTTGAAAAACAGAGGATAGAGGATACAGAATTTTCTTTATTAGATGTCCCAGTATCAGAAAAGGCAACTTGATGTGATAAATGGGTCACTGGCTTCAGAAACCTGGCAGACAGGGGCAGAAATGCCAGGTCCACAACTTATTAGCTTTGTAACATTCACCAGCTAACCTCTCAGACTTGGTTTTCTGAAACTTAAGAATTTAAAGATCAATGAAAGGATGTATATCAAGCCTCCAACACTGTGCTCATATATGGTGAAAAATGTAAAAGTCTTCTCTCAGCTCTAAAACTCACAAAAAGTGAAATTTCTTATACCAGTGTAAGAAATGGTCCAGGATAACCTCACAGCTTATCTTGTTCACCCCTCAGATTGACCTTCAACCAATCGTACCTTGAAGACAAACCAGACAGAGCTTTCTTGAGGATCTCGGGGGTTCTATCTAGGGATGGTGGAATTTCTGGAATATCAGAATCTGTTCTGGAATCCAAGTCTCCATATCTGTCATCAATATCTGTTTCCTAAAATTAAAGAAAAAAGAAAATCACTTTGCAAAATAAAAGGGAAAAAAGTGCATGCTTGCCAATACATCTATTTATTGCTCAGAGTACCAACTCTCATTTCCATAACTTAAAAAAAAAAAACTATTAACTTATCTTGAATATGCAAGCACTGTTGGACATCCTGGTTAGTAAAGTTCCTGTTAAAGTCTATCAACATAAAGGATTAATTTAAACAAAAAACACAAAAAGAAATTTCTATACTATCTAAATCAGAAATTTACCACAGAATCAAATATTTATTATTTCTCTGCTTAACAGAAAATATAGTGTTTGTGTGAATGTAGATTCTGATCAATGGTACATGAGTGAGTGAGTGAGTGAAGTCGCTCAGTCGTGTCCAACTCCCTGTGACCCCATGGACTGTAGCCTACCAGGCTCTTCTGTTCATGTACAATGGTACATAGTCTCTTTTTCAGTCGACTGCAATCAAAGCATCTACAATAAGAGTAATATCTTACACTGGCATGGCATTTTAGATAGATAGTGAAGCTGAATCTGACCTCTGTACCCCAACACTGAATTAAATCTCTGAGACTTCTGGGTGAAGTTAAAGAAGAATAGCTTTATTGCTTTGCCAGGTAAAGGAAGCCACAGCAGGCTAATGCCCTCAAAATCGTGTGTCCCAACTTGGAGAGAGTAGTGAGAAGTTTTATAGTTATGAGGTGTGATCAACTTGTGGACATTCGTGCGACTGGTTGGTGGTAAGTAGGGTCAGCATCATCAACCTTCAGGTTCCAACTGGTCTGGGGTCTGCGTGCTTGCGGGCAGCGTACCCTCATTAATCATTAACTTCTCCCCTCTGGTGGGGTTTTCAGTATCTGCACAACAGCTCAAAGACATTGCCATGGGTATCCCTTACTGGGGAACGAGGAACTTGCCCCAAGGCTGCACTATAGTTTCTCTTGACTGTTTCCCCCTTGTCTTGCGTCCCCTCCCTTTCCTGATTAACAACTGCTTGAATCTGGCTGCTGGAACTCAGTGAAGATCAGGGAGGCTGAATGAAAGGTATCTTCTGCAATCAGATGAATGGGGGACACAGAAAGGCTCTGTGCCAGGAGTCCTACAGGCCCTGCTAGGTATCAATAGATAGACAGATATAAATATGTAGATACACAGATACACAGACACACATATAAATAAATAAATATATATTCATATAAAAGAGATCAAACCAGTCAATCTTAGGATTCCTTTAGAGGAAATCAACCCTGAATATTCATTGGAAGGACTGATGCTGAAGCTGAAGCTTCGGTACATTGGCCACCTGATGTGAAGAGTCAACTAACTGGAAAATACCCTGATGCTGGGAAAGACTGAAGGCAAGAGGAGAAGGAGATGACAGAGGATGAGATGTTTGGACGGCATCACCAACTCAATGGACATGAGTTGGAGCAAACTCCAGGAGATGATGAAGGACAGGGAAGCCTGGCGTGCTGCAGGCCATGTGGTTGCAAAGAGTGGGATACGACTTAGCAACTGAACGACAATACACATATAATTATTCTAAACACTCAAACTTCCATCATTTTATTAGATCCTCAAGAGATAATCCTGGCCACGATGGTGGAGTACAAAATCCTTGAGCCCACCTCCTCTCACAGGCACACGAAGTTTACAACTATTATCAGAACAACTACTGATGAGAAAGAGTGATAGAATCTACCAGAAAAGATCTTCTACAACTAAAGATACAAAGAAAAATCCACAAGGAGACGGACAGGAGGGGCAATGGGGTGGTACAGTCAAGATCCATCCTGTAGAAAAAGCAGTTTTAAGAGGAAAGGTTATAGTGAAGCAAGCCTACCTCAGTCGCCTAAAACAAGGAAATAAAAGCAAAAATAAACAAATGAAATCTAAGGAGACTTAAAAGCTTTTGCACAGCAATGAAAACCATCAACAAAACAAAAAGACAACCTACTGAATGAGAGAAAATATTTGCAAATGTTATGACTAACAAGGAATTAATATCCCAAATATATAAACAGCTCATACAACTCAGTATCAAAAAAAACCAAACAACTCAATCAAAAAATGGGTAGAAGACCTGTATACACATTTTTCCAAAGACATAAAAATGGCCAATAGGGACATGAAAAGGTGCTCAACATTACTGATTATCATAGAAATGAAAATCAAAACCACAATGATATATCACATCACATCTGTCAGAATGACTATGATCAAAAAGACCACAAATAATAAATCTTGACAATGATATGGAGAAAAGGGAACACTGTACACTGTTGGTGGGAATGCAAATTTGAAAAAACACTGTGAAACCAGAATGGAGGTTCCTTTGTATATAATCTATATACATCCTTTCATAAACTTTACATCATCTCTAGATTAATTATAAAACCTAATACAATGTAAACAGTTGTAAGTACAATGTAAACAATTGTGTGTGTGCTTAGTCACTCAGTTGTATCCGACTCTGCGACCCACTGCACTGTAGCCTGCCAGGCTCCTCTGTCCATGGGATTTTCCAGGCAAGAACACTGGAGTGGGTTGCCATTTCCTTCTCCAGGGGATCTTCCCAACCCAGGGATCAAACCAACATCTCCTATATTGGCAGGCGGATTCTTTACCCACTGAGCCATCGGGGAGCATCTTGCAAACAGTTGTGGTTTGGTTGCTAAGTCGTGTCCGACTCTTTGTGACCCCATGGACTGAAGTCTGCCAGGCTCCTCTGTCCATGGGACTTCCCAGGCAAGAACACTGGAGTAGGTCGCCATTTCCTTTTCCAGGGGATCTTCCCCATTCAGGGAGCAAACCTGGGTGTCCTGCATTGCAGGCAAATTCTTTACTAATTGAGCCACCAGGGAAGCCCAAACACAGTTGTGAGTATGCCGCAAATTCAAATTTTCCTTGTTGGGACCTTCTGGGATTTTTTTTTTCCCCCAAATATCTTGATGCACAGTTGGTTGAATCCATGGACTCACAATCCACAGATATGAGGGCTGACTGGACTAATTCCACCCCTACTCTAACTAGCAATGACAAAAGGCAAAACACTTAACCGTAAAGAAACTCAGCCTCTGGCTTCCTTAAAAAATAAAAACATTGCACTTTCCACAAACTGCCTCAAAATCCACTTGGCAATAAAGGTGATGTGCCCCAACCCTCCGCAGTAGTTCATAAGCTTTGTGAGAAGAGGAAGTACTACTGGCTTCACTTTTGACTCCCTAGAGGTTGGCAGAGGGCCTTGCACAGTGGCTGGCACTTACTATGTAAATATGTGTTGAATGAACTGAGTCTGCAAACTTATGCTGACATTTAAGATTAAAAGAGTTCTCAACTGTTCTTGCTAGGTGAGTAATTTTGGCCATGTCACCTTGCTTGAGACCACCTGTTAGCACTTGTGAAATGAGAGCTTCTGACTATGAAGGGCTATGGGCTGCTGCTGCTAAGTCGCTTCAGTCGTGTCCATAGACGGCAGCCCACCAGGCTCCCCCATCCCTGGGATTCTCCAGGCAAGAACACTGGAGTGGGTTGCCATTTCCTTCTCCAATGCATGAAAATGAAAAGTGAAAGTGAAGTCGCTGAGTTGTGCTCTTAGTGACCCCATGGACTGCAGCCTACCAGGCTCCTCCATCCATGGGATTTTCTAGGGGAGAGTACTGGAGTGGGGTGCCATTGCCTTCTCCAGGCTATGGGCTATTCTTTTGCAAATATAAAAAGACAGAGTATTTCTGGTAAATGATGAATGGAAGTTGTTACCCTGCAAATCTCATTCCTACAGTGAAATGAACTTCAAAAGTACTTCACAAATGTCGATTTATTTATACCTCACACTACCTTATAGATAAGTAAATAATCACATCTTTTTTGTAAGTGAAAAAAATTTAGGCTCACAAAGATTGAGTAAAGTGCCCTAAGTTTACTCAGCTCGAAGCAATGTAGCCAGAAGGCAGAAAGGAAATTTAAATGGCAATTTTTCCACAAACTGATCTTCAGACCCAGTGCAATCCCAGTAATCTCAACTGGCTTTTATTTTGTGTGGAAATAAACAGGCTGACTTTAAAATTTATATGAAAATGCAAAAGGACCTTACGAGCCAAAACCACCTGCAGATAAAAACAAAACTGAAGGACTTACAGTTTTCAAAAGTTATTATAAAGCTGTGATATTGGCATAAAAACTGATCAATGGAATAGAAGAAAGGGTCTAGAAATTAATCCACACTTATACAGCCAATTGACTTCAACAAAGTTGAAAGGTAATTCAGTATATGCTGCTGAAATAATTAGATAACCATACGTGAAAGGAAGGAAGGAAGGAAAAACTTTGATCCATACTTCACACTACTTAACAAAAATTAATTCAAAATAGATCAGACATTTACATAAAGCTATAAAATTCCATGAACCCTTTGAGACCTAAGGTTAGGCAAAGACTTAAATATGACAAGAAAAAAGTAGGATTCACAAAAGAAAAACTGATAAAACCACTTCAAAATTAAATTGTTCTGCTTTTCAAAAGACACTGTTAAGAGAAAACAGCCATAGACTGGGAAAAGATATTTGCAAGAGAGTATGTGCGCTCACGTCATGTCCAACTCTGCAACCCCATGCACTGTAGCCCAGGGGGTTCCTCTGTCCATGGAATTTTCCAGGCAAGAATCCTGGAGTGGGTTGCCATTTCCTACTCCAGAGGATCTCTTGTGTCTCCTGCATTGGCAGGCAGATTCTTTACCACTAGCACCACCTGGGAAGGCCTGATATTTGCAAATCACATGTCAAATAAGGGTCTTGCATCCAGAACATATCAAGAATTCCCAACATTCAATAAGAAAACAATCGATGTAATCAAAATACATGGGTGAAGCTTTATTTGAACAGACATCTCACTGAAGGCAATACGCTGATGGTAAATTGGCATATGAAGAAATGCTCAACATCTTAGTTATTAGGGAGTGAAAGTGAAAGTCCCTCAGGTAATGTCTGACTCTTTGTGAC